AGTACATACTTTGTAGATTCTAGGTTGTTTCCTATATTCAAATAGCTAAATTAGCTTATGTGTTTGCTTCTACAATTGCATTTTGTGTAATGGATAGGAAGTATTTTAATTTTTGCAAGATACTATTTCTTTTTTGATCATTATCTATTTTAAGTTTGTGTTAAGTAGTGTTTTATAAAAGGATTACTTATAAGTGTTCACGATTCTTTCTTTTTCTTTTTCATGTTAGTTTAATCTTTATTCATACATGTTTTATAGTTAATTAGTTTTAAATTTCCAATTTTGTGGTAATTTAATTTGCAAATCTATTTATAGACATAGGTTAATCTGGCTTTGAACATGATAGTTTTAATTAAGATGCGTTCATCTTTTGCTACTCTACTTTAGTTTACATTTCATTTAGTACATTTAGGATTTGTTAATTTTAAATTTACGATATTGGTAAAATCCTTGGGATTGTCTAAGGTGGATTAGTAACTCATTTGCAGAAAGGCATTCCGCTCTCTTGCAAATTATCTAAGGATGCAGAACTCAATCTTAAACCAATGTTCTTTCAACCATCTTAACAGAGGTCGACTGTATGAAATGAGAGGGTTGTTAGAAAAATCATTTTTCTTGTGTTTCAAAAAAGTAAATGACACACTCACATTTAGGTTTATCTCATGCAAAGCTACTTTAGAATTTTTGAGGAAACACTTCTATTATATAACTTATCGTACCATAACAAATCATCTTTATACTTTCATTTTTTTCTTCATTAACTTCTACTCTATTTTATCATCACCATCTCTTTCCCAAGTTAAGAGAGAAGATGCTTTGTCCAATCATGCATTCGTTTCTGTACAATAGTCTTTATAGGTGCTATGTAAATAACGTCTACTTAGTAAGTGCAATTAGTACATAAAAAATCTTAAAAAAGAGAGCTATAGGCTGACAATAAAGTTTGATACTAGAAGTTTGATAGTGGACCAAATTCAAGAAACTAACCATATTTAATAGAAGAATACATAATTACTTGAAAATGGATAAACCTAGTTTAACCATTGGGGTATGTCAAAGAATGTGGCATATGAATGTAATTAGTTGACAATAAGGCCAAATTGATTGTCGTGGTTATAACAATCCCACAAATACCTAAGAATATTTTAGCTTCATGGTAGGCTTATGTCCAAGGCACAATCATATTGTTTCAGATGGTCTTGTCAAAGAATTCTTGTGACCTCATCATTTAACCATTAATGTTTATACTTGGTCTTCTTTACACCTTCATATTAGGCTGAGCATTAAAATGGCACAGCATAGCAAGCTTAGCATATATGGTTTTCCCACTTCATATTAGCTTCTTGTACGAATAGCAGTATGGGATTGTGGGTGTGATAAGGCTCCTAGGCATAATGGATTCAACTTCACTTTTTTACAAGAATATAAAGAAAGAGGTGGTCAACTTCGTACAAGAATTTCATGAGAAAGGTAGGTTGGTGAAAGGCTTAAATGTATCCTTTATAACTTTAATCCCAAAGGTGTTAAACCCACAAAACATAGAAGAATATAGGCCAATTTCACTCATTGGAGCTTTGTACAAAATTATTGCAAAATTATTGGCCAACAGATTATGCACAATAATGGAGACATCATTGGGGAGAATCAAATGGCCTTCATAGAAGGCAGGCGATTATGCAAAAGAGTGGTAGTAGCAAGTGAAGTTATTGATGAAGCCAAGAAGAAGAAGAAGAAGAGTTATTGATGAAGCCAAGAAGAAGAAGAAGATGAAGAGTTTCATTTTTAAGGTGGATTTTGAGAAGGCCTACAACAAGGTTAACTAGAATTTTTTGAATTATATGATGATGAGAATGGGGTTCAGTGACATATGGAGAAGATGGATCATGGAATGCCTTCAAACCAATTTGTTGTGAATATTGGTGAATGGGAGTCCAACTAGACAATTTGGAGTTTCAAAGGGGCTAAAACAAGGTGATCCCTTGGCCCCATTCTTATTCCTAATTGCGGTTGAGGGATTGAATGGAATTATCAAGTCTATAGTGGAGCAAGGGTTATTTACTGGAGTGAAAGTGGGCAACAATGGAGTCCAATTCTCCCATATACAATTTGCGGATGATACAATTATCTTTGGGGAAGTTAAAGAAGAAAACATATGGTTTGTAAAACGCATAATGTGGACTTTTGAACTCACATTTGGGTTGAAAATCAATTATCATAAAAGCCAACTAGTTGGTATTCATACAGATATGGAATGGATATAGAAAATGGCTTGGTCTTTAAATTGTGAAGTTGGTCAAATGCCCTTCAAATGCTTAGGAGTGCTTGTGGGTGGAAACCAGAGGGATTTAAGAATGTGGTAACCTTTAGTTGACTCAATCAAGAAGAAATTGTTAAGTTGGAAAAATAGGTGGTTGTCATTCAATGGCAAGATCACGCTTCTTAACTTTGTGCTCACGTCACTCTCCGTGTTTCTCCTATTAGCCTACCTCGCTTCAAAAGGTATTACGAAAACTATTGATAGAATTAGAAGTAATTTTGTACGGGGAGGGTGGGGGGAGACTAGGAAAATACATTGAGTAAATTGGAAATTAGTGGGTAGAAACAAATGAGAAGGAGGTCTAGGAGTGAAGGACATTAGGCTTTTCAACTTGGCACTCTTAGGTAAATGGTGGGGTAGACAAGTAGAGGGAAAGGAAAACTTATGGGTTAGGCCAATAAAAGAAAAATATGGGTCTAGAAAAGATAATTGGTGCGGTGGGTGAGGGGAGGTAAAGGTAGTGGGTCCAGGTGGTGGAGGGATATATGTAGGTTGGATGTTTTGGAAGATAGTAGACGAGGGTGGTTATTGGATGGTTTTGAGCTTAAGGTTGGTAAAGGAAATAGTGTCAGCTTTTGGAAAGATAGTTAGAGCAATGTAGGAGTGCTTGCTAATGCTTTCCCAAGATTATACATGCTATATACAAGAAAGGAAAACTCTATACAGGAAATGGGTAGTTAGAAAGGTGAGACATGGTCATGGAACTTTGAATGGAGGCGAAGCTTGTTTTCCTAGGAGACCGAATCACTACAGGATTTAAAGCAATGGATCAATATGACTGAATTCCTAAAAGACAAGGAGGATACTTGGATTTGGAAGGTGGAGAGAAGGGATTATACACAGTGAAATCAATATACAACAGATTTGTCCATCAACAACCTTCATCACTAGAACCATTATTTGCAAGGTTATGGGGTAGTCACATCCCTAACAAAGTTTGTGGGTTTGCATGGCTATTATTACATGATAGGATTCCATCAAAGCTTAATTTGTTTAGAAGAGGAAAAATCACAGAAATAGAAGCAACTACATGCAGGTTATGCAACAAATGAGTGGAGGATAATGACCACCTTTTCTCCATTGTACAATTGCTTCAACAATTTGGATAAAATGCATTCAATGGTGGGGCCTAAGTACTATAGTTGTTGGAACATGCAGGGATTCTTTTATGCAGCATGTAGACATGGTATCCAAAGCAAATTACCAAATGGGGCTGGGCTACTGTTTGTCACTCTTTGGCATGGACAATTTGGAATACCAAGAATGAGGTAGTATTTAGAGTAGGCCTTGCGAATGTGGATTAGATGTTTGATCAAATACAAGTGAGGTCTTATCGTGGATAAAAAATATAGGGAAAGGAGGAAGTTTTACTTTTTTGGATTGGATTTTAAATCCAAACTGTTGTAAAATCTTGTAAGGGACCGTATAAGATGCCATTAATTAGCAAGGCAACGCTTGAGTCAAAACTTGCGCTTTTGTTGTAAATGGTTTTGAGTACCCTTGTACTAAAAAACAAAATCTTTTTTGCCTTTCAAAAAAGAAAAAGAAAAACACTATGTGATATAGGACATGAATGGTCTGCAGCATTTTCAAGTGAAAGAAATAAATTATAAATTCTAAATATATGGATGGCTAAAACCTAGAAGCATCAACAAGCAAGCTGTAGTAATTAGATTGAACCAAACCTGTGTTTGTATGGGATTAAAATGGGAAAATTTGTACTAAGATTTATAGGTGTTGTTTCCAAGTGATGTCATAGGCAGAGGTTTCAAATT